CTGTCATTTCGACTAGTCACAATTATGTTACAGATATCTTAAATGATAATACAAACTATCCAAAATGTAATTACGAATAGACAGAAAGACGTTGTTGATATCTACAATGTTAATTCCGGACAGGCAAACTTAGCTTTTAAATGTTAAAAGGGCTTGCCATACAGGGACGTAGGCTCAGAGAGAGGCTCACCATATTCAAACCAAAATATCTGACTTCCTCTTGGTCCGAGCTAATGACTATGTATTAGAAAGTTGTCCGGCTTGAGGAGTACAATGTATATAGCGATTTTTGTAACTGTAGATAAAACTAACAACCCCACTTTTGTCAAAAGGTGGCGCTATTTAGTCCTTGCACTATGCCCTTTCTGAAACTTTGCACATGTCTACTGGCTAATAAATGTGATGTATCTGTTGAGTTTCAAGCAATTTCAATTTCAATTTCAATTTGACTGTTGAAAAGAAGTGCGCCGATTAGATACTCAGGATCGGTATCGGCTCTGACACTGCCATCTTTGACGAGGCTGATTCAAATTCTATATTGTGCATATATACTATTCTATGTTAGGCACAAAGGCACAAAAACTTTCTAAAGTACCATAAAGTTTTTGTGTACTGTATTATTAGTGTTCTGAAGCTATTATGTGATATAGAAATTAATATTTAAGTCATTAAATTCAAGAACACAAACTTTTCCCTCTCTGCGCCTGTCAGTCATTCTCCATTCAGCATTCAAACAGCACGTCACATTCGGTTACAGTCAATGATGAAACGATCTTCAAGATGATTGAATGTTAATCCTATTATACTGGATCTTTAAGATAAAGGTCTAAAGGTCTATATTTTCGAATGAAGAAACTTTTTCTTGCTGGACTTTATTGCTGTAACTTAATCGTGTTACTTTCTACCGGGTGTCGGACGCTGTCGGTTAGATCACAACACTAGAGTCAGAGCACTATAATTGTTCTTCACGCACACAGTAACTGAAATTTAAAACCTTTAAAAGAAAAGGCTCAATAAACTATTGCATAGATAGATAATGTATAATACACTGTTCATAAATATGTATTTCCTTTGTGCTTTGAACTTTTCAATACGGACTCACTGCGCTGTAACTTCATGTGGCTTCAAGCACATCATTCTCCGCTCGGGATGCACATAAGTGCTTTGTGCTGCACCGTATTGGAGCCGTAATATCATAATGCAGTGACGTAATGACAGATTATTAATTGCCTTTCAATTATATGTTGCTGCGTCATTAAACATCTGTCCTATGCATTTCAAACATTTATAGCAGCCATGGCTATATTTTTTTATGATTTTTGTTATCTTGTTTTTCATGAATGTATTTTTCAAAAATAAGAGCAATGTGTATTATCTATTATTAATATGGTTTATAATAGCATTTTTGTCATAGATTATGACAAAGTAATCATATGATCCACCAGCGAGGAACCAGCAGAACAGAGTGAACATTCTTTCTGTTTAGTTCAATCCTACTTAATAGGAATTTATTTAAAATGCTCGCTCTACTCCACACCATTAATGTCTTGTGCGGACATCCGTATTTCGACTTTCGGTTTTAAGTAAGCGATTTAAAAGCTCCCAAGTCCCAGCGGAGTCACACGTTGATTAACCGGTGGGAATATACACAATAGGCCTACCTGATATTGAACACAAGAGGGCAGTATAGCACTACGTATGACTCAGATTATTATTTTTTTATGAATTTTACAACAATTCTGGCTGTTTTTGAACGTAAACATAATTCTTAAATGAAAAAAAGGAAAAATTGGGGAAGTTATAATATTTGTATAATTTAATTTAGAAACAAATGATGTATAATTACATTTTTAGAAGATATGAGGCTTTTAGTGTTTACTTTTTTGACATTACTTTAATCTTTTGCCATAGTTGCACATGTCTACTGGCTAATAAATGTGATGTATCTGTTGAGTTTCAAGCAATTTCAAGCATGCTAAGAGTCCCAAAAGCATCAAAAAAGAATGTTAAAGTTTGATTCGTTGCCACGGCAACAGTATCAAAGATATCAAAAATTCATTCACAGGTCTACATCTGCCGTGTATTTACATTATACAGATGAAGTTTGAAGCAAATCGGTTAAAAATAAGAGAGTGGTTTCAAAGCATTTTGAAAGTGACACACTTCCTGCTGCCAGTTGGTGGCGCTATAATTTTGACTCACAATAGTCACATCCATGTGATCGGTCTCTTACAGCGAAAACACTGCTGAAGTTTCATCAAGATCAGTTAATGTATGCTGAAGTTATAACACACATCCTGTTTCATGTTTCTCGCCATAATTTCGTTTCCTCGCCACGGACAACCGTTCGAGATATAAAAAATCCCTTGGCACCTTTTCATCCTTAATGTCTTGACTTCACGCTGATCGAGTTTTGTCGAATTTGGTTCAGTGCTCTAGGAGCAATACTTTAAATTCCATTGCATGTGTTTTAAACACAACCCTAAATAGCCGTCTTCCTGTTGGGCTGGGGTAAAAAGTAAGAGTGTGAAGTAGGCTATATATGAAACGATGAGATCTATATGTGTACCAAGTTTCATATTATTACATGCAAGTGTGTTTGATTTATGGACCAAATTTTCAGACCAAGTTTATTGACCAAGTTAATCTGATTAATAAACTAATTATATAAAACTATTGTCAATGCACTACAATTAAACTAGTTATATGTCTTTACTTATAAAAACAAAAATAAAAACTTATTTAAAAAAATACCAGGCTTGAGAAATGTATTTTCTTTATGCAGGTCATACACACAGCAGTGAAATGGTTAAGCCCCCTCCCCTGCACACACACACACACATTGACAGGACACACACACCACAGACGCCAAAGACAGCCAAAGACACAGAGACATGTAGGCTCAGAGTGACCATATTCAAACAAAAAATATCTGAGTTTCTGTGGGTCCTAGCTAATAAGTGTAAATTAGAAAGTTGTCCGGCTCGAGGAGTACAATATACATACCAATTTTTGTAACTCTAGTTAAAATAACAACCCCACTTTTGTCAAAAGGTGGCGCTACTGAGCCCTCACCACGCCCGTTTCTGAAAACTTTGCACATGTCTACTGGCTAATAAATGTGATGTGTCTGTCGAGTTTCATGCATTTTGAAGCATGCTAAGGGTCTCAAAAGCATCCTAAAAAGCATCCTAAAAGAAGGGTAAAGTTTTGATGCGTGCCACGGCAAACAGTAAAATATCAAGAATCCATTCACAGGTCTACATCTGCCGTATGTTTTACATTATACATTGAAGTTTGAAGCAAATCGGGAAAAATAAAAGGGTGATATCAAAGCATTTTGAAAGTGACACACTTCCTGCTGCCAGTTGGTGGCGCTATAACTTTGACTCACAATAGTCACATCCATGTGATCGTCCCT